CACTTATAGAATGGGAAACTCCCTTCTTGAGAACACGGAGGCAGAAAGGGATCTTGGAGTCATTATTGACTCCAAGATGAACGTGGGCCGACAACGCGAGGTCACGGCTGGCAGGGCTAACCGGACCTTGTCGTGCATCCACAGGTGCATCTCAAGCAGGGCCAAGGAGTTGATCCTCCCCCTCTACGCAACTCTGGTCAGGCCGCAGCTGGAGCATGCGTCCAGTTCTGTACACCGCATTTCAGGAGGGATGTGGACAACACTGAAAGGGTCCAGAGGAGGGCCACCCACACAATCCGGGGACTACAGGGCAGACCCTACACTGAAAGGCTGTGGGACCTAAACCTGTTCAGCCTTCACAAGAGAAGGCTGAGGGGGGACCTGGTGACTGTCTATAAACTCACTAGGGGGGACCAGAAGGGTTTAGGGGAGACACTGTTTCCCCTAGCGCCCCCTGGCATGACAAGGAACAATGGACACAAATTATTAGAGAGTAGGTTTAGATTAGACATCCGCAAGAACTACTTCACAGCTAGGGAGGCTAGGAGCTGGAACCAACTTCCAAGGGAAGTGGTGCTGGCTCCTACCCTTGGGATCTTTAAGAAGAGGCTTGATGACTACCTGGCTGGACTCATTTGAGCCCAGTCTTTTCTCCCGCCCAGGCGGGGGGTCGGACCTGAAGATCTACAAGGTCCTTTCCAACCCTACTTCTATGATTCTATGAAAAATTCCACCAGAGGAAAAAAAGTTTAATGAATGGCTTTGCTCAGTTTGCTTGTGAAGCCTTGTCCATTATTGCTAGCTCTTTCTTTCTAGGCTGTTATTATTTACCTTCCACAAAACAGTAAGCCTTTCTTATCCGCTAAATCTGTTTTAGTTTTAAATTTCTGTGGAGCAGCCAGATGCAGTGATGAGCGCTATATAATACTAGCTCTTATATAGTACTTCCCATCAAATATGGTACACACTGGCTAATTCTCATCAGCTGTGAGAAATAAGTATGGTAATTTTATACATGGAGAAACTGGTGGTTAAGATAGTCATCTGGGATGAGTTAGGACCAGGTTCAACTGCCTTGTTTGAAACATGATGAAAAAACTAAGCAGCATAGTTAGATGCCTCAAAATTGTGCAAGTCAGTAGTTGGCATGGAAGTCAGGTAAGGTGGATTTCATTCCTTCAAGAAAATTTAAAATCAATATGAAGAATGCTTCAAACAAATTAATGGGGTGGGGTGATCTCTTTCATTGGGTCAACCGCAGTGAGAAGGTACAAGTCCCTCCCCCTGCAGTTGGCCTAAAAAAAGATCGCCTGCAAAAAAAATCCTTGCCTCTCAAATTGCACCATTTCTTAAGGAAACTAAATTTAAAACCTTCATTCAGCCACTAAGAGTGAAGTCAGAACATCTGGTAACCCACCCTGACCTCTACAAGTTACATATATTATGCAATTACCTGGTTAACTGCAATTAATTCAGACTAGCTACATATGCTATGGTGCCTTAAAAAGGTCCAACCAGCTATGAAGGTATTGCTGGAAAATGTATAACTTTAGAGCTGGTTTCTATCCAGTTTTAATTTGCACATGCAGCCTGTGCCCCTGCAGCTGGGAGCCCCGTCAGCCAAGCAGAGCTCCCAGCTGTGGGGACACTGGATTGTGACGGGCCCCTCTGGGTGGGATTATAGCAGCTATGGTCTCCCACCTTTGGGGGGCATGTGGGGTGCCTGGTCAGCTGAGGGGGCTCCCAACCATAGGAGTTTGCTTCTTGCCGGTAAAAGGGGAGCTCAGGAACAGGCTCCTCCTGCATGGGCAACAAACCTTAATAGGGTCCAATTTGCGATCCCATGATCACGCCTCCTGCCATGCACATGTGGAGACATGATTCTGCAGATTGTGCACTAAAACCCATTGTAATATTACTTGCAGGTGTAGAGGGGCCCTAACAAATATACTGTATGCGTTCGCTTGAATTCCTCAGTCCTGGAAGTGTTTGAGTCTCAGCAAAATGGTGGGAAGGTCTGCCCCTGAGCAATACCTACTTTTCAGTGCTCAGCCTGCTAGTTTCTCCTGCCTGCCCATGCACTGTACACAGCTGCCATGCTGCTGCATACTCTAGTTTTATGCCTGACCAAAAGGCTGATTAATAAGCAGATATAGGATAGTTATACATACCTTTTAGCTCCTGTGCACACCATTTTTCCAGAGCTGAATATAAGTGCAGTAGTACGTGGCTCTCTTATTCTCATGATGACAGCAGCAAAACGCTAAAATGCAGAAACTGAAACAATTAGTCATCTTACTACCTTGATAGCTGCACATAGGTATATGCAGTAGCAAATGTTCAGCTGTATTAACTATCAACTCGATTCTACATACTACACTTCTAGGGTCCTAACAGACGTAAAAAATACAAACAACCATCCCCCCACTCAGAGTTTTACTGAAAGAGGCACTGAGTCAGCTCCCCAGTGTCTACATAGTTTGGGTGCTTCAGCAGGGCTTTTTGGTACCTTTATCTAATAGCTGATTGAATCAGCTATTAGATAGAAGTGCCAAAAAGCTGTGCTGAAGTGCATGAGCTATACAGATGCTGGGTGAGCCAAGTAAACTGACGCAATGCTTTGTCTGGGCATGCACTGAGCTTGGCACAGGGGTGCACTGACCTGAAAGTAAAGCGCTGTTCCTGTCCTCCCCCCCCACCAATCTGTAAGCAACTCTAGAGATTCAGATCTCAGAACAGGTTATGAGCAATCTGAAATGAGAATTGAGCCTTCTGACTCTCCAGCAAATCTGTACTTTTATCACCATATCCCTATCAAAATGCTCTTGTCTCCTGTTAATGGGGCAAAGGGCCATGCAACCAAAAGGGAAACTGAATTTGGCAATATACTTGAGTGTTGTCTGATGCAACAAAATAACAATAGGAAAAAAGATTTTCTCTCTGTGATCTTTGGTCATACTTATAGATTTTGGCAAAAGCTTTGCAGATGGGAGTTTGATTTTTTTAGTTGATTTTTTTTCTCTTTGTATCTTAAAGGTACTGAGATTTATAAAGGATAGTTCAACATCTGAACACTGGCTGTGGAAAAGGTAAAAACAGAAACCAGAGGGGCATGTTTTACTGAACAGAAGTTGAATGTATTACTCCAAACACACACTAATACACACAATTAAACCTAGCTCCGTCCTTTAAACCTACCTTTGCAAACATGATGCATAACATTTAATGCCTTGAATGCTAGAGATAGCAAGCTGTTCCTATAGCAGGCTTAGATTAAGACAAGGATTGATAGGCATGGTTTTTCTTGGTACAGGTATTCTATAAAGTCCTCTTCTCCCAGCTACAGAAACTGATGCTTAATTCAAGATTACCACAAACCACAAACTTTACATAGCCACATACTCCCTCTCAAAAGCAGCATTTCTGCTGCTGCCCAAATTTGCTTTTGCTGCAATTGCATCCCACTTGCATGTGATTTTGAAACTAATTTTTTGTCTCTGGATTTATGAAAAAGTACAATTCTAGGTGCCATTTCATTTAAATGTATGTATGTATGTATGTGTGAACACTTGTATTGCTCTAGATTACAACTTAAATCCACCATGGCATTTCCTTAAAGCCAGGATATAAAAAAAAGAAATTCATGGGGACCGTAGTTAAGGCATAAATGAGTAAATAATATCAATTCAACAGTGTCTAAACCTAATATTTTTAATGCAACCTTTCAGTTGTTACAGCTGCAAAGATAAGGCATTTTATTAAGTCAGTGCATAAACCATTCCAGGGTCTCTGCTGCTAAGAGTTTCTCTGCCCTACAGAATAGTAATCATCGTAGTCATCTGCTCTCACTACTGATATTTAGAACTTAGTGGACAAAAAAATGGACCAAAGAAAAGAAAATCAGATCGATTTCAGTTTGCTGTACCATCAAATCTAAGCAGGAGCAGAGGAAGAAACTGGAACTACCAAGTGAGAAGGCTCAAATATGGAGACTGGAAGGGAGTTGAAATAAGAGAGACCCTCACACCATTACAGGACCAAGAACACTGAAAGAGAGGCAGAGCAGTAGAGGTTATGGAACGTTCATAATAGCTTCATAGGTTGTAAGGCTAGAAGGGACCTTGGAAGATCATTGGGTCCAGCCTCCTGTACCAAGCAGGAAAGACAACTAGGGTCAGGTGACCACAGAAAGGTGACCATCCAGTTTCCCCTTGAAGATTTCCAGGATAGGTGATTGCACCACCTCTGCAGGGAGCTTATTTCACAGTCTGGACACCCCAGCTGTGAAGAAGTCTTTCCTAATGTTGAGCCTGAAATGGTCTTCCAGGAGTTTGTGACCATTACTCCTGGTGTTCCCCAAGGGTGTCCTGGTGAACTGTTGTTCACCAAGCCCTTGATGCACACCCCTGATATAGTGGGTAAACTGCTACCAAGTCCCCTTTCAGCCTTCTCTTTTTCAGACTGAAGAGTTCCAGGTGGCCAAGTGGTCCACCGTGGCTCAAAGGCTCTGCTGGGAGCACAGAAAAAGCTTTCTTTCTTTCCAGCTAGCAGATGGAACAGGCAGCTTCAAGTTTATACATTTATTTGCCCTGGGTTCCCTTCCGACCTTATGATTCTATGAAAGATGGGCGTCCTTAGTGTAGTGCAGGGACAACAACCTACCATTTCCAGCAGTTGGAAGATGGAGGAAATTTCCACCATCACTATGGAAACTGTCCTGCCTTAGAATGTGCCAATTAAACTTGCCTCATGGTTTTCTACTGTAACTTATCATCAACCTCCTTCCTACCACATGCTGAACTCAGGTAGTACATCTTTCAACTGGGAACTCTTCAGACATGACCCCATGAAGGGGGGAAAAAGAAGAATTAACATATTAAAACCATACTGCTGAGAGGACAAGTCAAAGTTTTAACATGTTTAGCCAGGAGAAGTCAATTGTAAGATGCTTCCTAAAATAGACTGCCTTCCAGCTACTGTTAAAAGACAAAACACCACCAGGGTGTTCCATATACCGTTATCTAAAACATGTTACCATCAGTCCATCCTCAGTGAAGACAAGCTCTCCGGTACAGGCATCCTGTCCTCCTGTGTACTTTTTTTTTTTTTAAACTTTTGTATCTCAGGCCAAATCAGTTCTGAATACTATTGGCTGAGCAGAGCTCAACTGTTCAAGTCTGTGCAGCACTACCACTGGCAAGTATCTACTCTCCCAGACTATTTATCCTGGGGCTTCAGATACTCCTAAATCCATAGCATGCATCCTATATGTAAGCCACAAGCCCAGAGACCTTGAAGTTTAGATGTCCTCTAGTCTCACTTGCCCCTAGCTAAAAGGCCAAAGGAGCAAGCTACAGGAAAAGCCCAGGAGCAATCTCCCATCCCCCCAAAACTGTGTAGCCGAGATCCTCCCATTGGGGTGCCCATCCACAGAGCAAAGGACAAGGCTCTACCATCCTATGTGTATGCACAGCTATACAGCAGCCACCACAAGAAAGCTGCCAAAATACATGCACACCTGTGCAACTCTTGGAGTCTCCACTTCATCAATTGCGCTAGGGGACACAAAATTCACCTTAGAGGGGCACATTGTTAAACAAGCTGCAACAGCTGGCAGCAGGGGCAGACATGTCTACACATACTTTCCCATAACCGCCAGATGGCCAGTGAACCCCCTTTGTTCAAAGGACTGATTTTGCTCTGCTGGCAGAAAGAAATGGTTCTACTGTCACAACCCAGCCTTTTGTGTCATCCATTAATTGCATGAAGGGGCTCTAAAAAAAAAGCAGCAGCTCTCTCCATTTAGGACTACAGAGACCCAAAATGCAAAAACAGGAGACATCTGACTCCCAATCTCCTTTGCAGATGAAGCTTGGAGACATGGGCACCTGCAGATGGGAAGCAATTACTAAGGCCAGGTCTTGCCTTCTGCCGGGATTGCAACACTGGTTAGGTGATAAATTATTTCTATACTGATACAAGCCCTTGTACAGACAGTTATACCAGTATAAACATGCTTTTCATGCTACAGCTTCTCACTCACCAAAACGGTAAAAGCCTATCTGAAAGAATACTTTTTGCTGGTATAAGCCTGTGCCTGTGAGGAGGCTTTTCCAAGTACAGCTATGCCAGCTGGGCATCGGTACCACCTAGGCTTAAGACTTTACCCTTTGCTAGCAACTGAGTGCTAACAGGTGAATTAGTAACAAGTTTCTCTCTTACCTTGGGATTGTATTCAGCATTTCTAGCACGAAGTGCGATGGTTTTTAAGTCAAGTTTACAACCAAGATTCACGGTGGATACAATATTCCTGAAGATGAGTTAGAGAGTGGTTAATATTATATTTCATCAAGGACACTCGAGTTCTCTCTGTTTTTAAAACTACAGTGGCTACTAGAATGTATCAAATACATTCACAAGAAAGCTCCATTGACTGTGATGGGGTTGCAAGAATTATTTTGGTAGTGTGGCAGCAAAGTTCTGAGTTCACAGAAAGAGGCTGTTTCCCCAAGATAGTCAAAAGGTTCCTTTGCAACACAATGTAAAGACTTTTTTTAAAAAAAATGAATCATTTAAGTGAGTCTCTATATTATCTGCACCCAAAAGAATGTTATTTTTTAATACAAAGTACCCAAGAATCGTCCCTTCCCAGACCTTCCCTATAAATTACAGTAAGGATCACAGCTCCCCATTTTCTTGCTAAATAAAGGCATGCCAGATCTTAATCTAAATTCTATATCTTTCTTTCCTATTCATAAATTAATCCTTGTCTCATCTTTTAGACAAGGTGAGACAGGATATTGGGCACAATTCCATCTATATTTGACTAGCAGATTCTCACTACCCCCTTTCTACTGTAGAGAATCTGTAGGTGCAGTGTTAACACTTTATTAAAAAAATAGGAAAAGCATGTCCAGCAAACTGTAGTTATTAATATTTTAAAGACTCTCACAGCTCAAGCATGCAATCAGCTATCCTCAAGTCTCTAAGGTTATGTGGTGAAGAAGTCAAGATTGTGTCTATTTGACAATATACACTTTCCAAGCCACCACAAAAACATAATTATATTCAGCAACCCCAGGTATATTAGATATATAGCTGAAAGAGATCATCAAGTATTCTTACTTCTGCTACAGAACAACTATGCTAACAGAAGCATTATTCAAAGTCCTCCCTACATTATATGACTGCCGTGTACAGCTATGGCAGCAGAGCCCCTAGGCAGAGCGGCTAAACAGAAAGGCAGAACAGGCATCTCCAGTCCTAGAGTATCCCCTAAACCACAGAACCTGTGCCAGGCAAGACCCTCTTGTCAACATATCTGCATCCAGATGGACCAGACTCATACACAATACAGCTGTGCTGGCAAAACTCAGCGTCTCAGCCCAAGAGTGAGAAGAGCCATTAGAAAAATGCCAGGTATACTCACTGTAGCTGTGGCACAATCCCAGAGCTTTCAGACGCAGGGGTAGCAGGAGTTATTGGGGTCATAGGGGTCATTGGAGAGGGGTAGAGTGGTGTGGTTCCTGGTAAAGGAGCTGTAGTAAGAGTCTGTGAGTGGAAGAGTTGTGGAGTTTGACTGGATGTTCCCTGTGTTGCTTGTTGTGATGTGGATTGCTGTGCTGCTTGTTGCTGCTGCTGCCGCTGCTGTTCCTCCAGGATAGATAAACTGTTGGTGCTTTGTACAGGCTGCGGTGTCAGTCCAGTGCCATAAGGCATCATGGGGCTAAAAATTGGAATTCCTGGAGTCATGGCACCCTAGAAGGGAAAGTACAAAAGATAAAGCAGATGGAGTCCAGATGACATTTAGTCTATGAGGAAAACCAGACGGAAGTTTGAGGAGTTTAGGAACAAGCATGTCTGCTTGAGCATATTCACCAGTCCAAGCAATAAGAACTTAATATTCCTCAAAGTGCATTTTACGTCACAGAAAAAGTCTCACAACAGCAGTTCCCAATCTGTGGTGTGGGTACTACCAGTGGTACGCAGACAACCTGTCAGTGGTATGCATTAACAGATTTATTACAATTAGTTTATGACAAAAATTTGCTGGTGGTACTTTAAGTTTAAATTGGTGGTACGTAATCTGTCAGTTGGGAACCGATGAAATAGAGATAATGCTTTTTCTTTTCCACCAACCAGGAAAGCATTATTCAGTGTCAGCGTATGCATACCACAATGCCTCGTTCGAATACACTTCAATTAGAAAAAAACAAAAGCCAGTGAGATTTTGGGTCATAAGATGCGTTCCCTTACAAATATTAAGGATTTGTTCTGCAAATATCTGACTACACTGAAACAGCATTTTATCAGAAACTGAGACATTTAAAAATGCTACCAAGGCTAAAAACAAACGACTGATTTGATTTGGATTTGAGCATTTTCCCCCTCAGCAAACCCCAGATTTTACAGACTACTGCCAAAACAATTGTGCTACATTAACTAACTGTGAAGTGTTCAAATTAACACTGTGTCTCCGGATAATCACAGTTAATTCAAGTCAACTGTCATTTAAGTTTTGACTATAAAAGGCTAAGGGACAGTCCAGTCTGCTTTTAGCCTAAAATTTCAAACAAGTTTCCATCAAGCAAATATTCCTGGGACTGCAGATCACACTAAGCTGTTGTAGTTGTAAGCATTTATATAGTTGGCATCTAATGGAGTTATTCATGTTTGTTTACATGAGAAACTGAAATCCCTTCTGCAAAGACATTTATCCTGCACTTACATTTTTTAACTATCTTATTTTTACCTGAGGTGATGCCAGTCCTTGGGCATAGGGCGGCAAGCTGTTGTTCTGATCCATGATTCTGATTACTTCTTTGGTCAGGCCAGAATTATTTCCAGTAACTCAAGAACAATAATTCCACACGATAAGGGAGTTGTTTCCCCTAAAGCATTCCAGCAACCAGATTTTCAGCCACTTCTGAACGATTATTAAAAACTTTAGCTCCAGAAAAGTGTGTTGCAAGTCTAAAACACAATTCAAAACCTGAAAAAAAAGAAAGAAAACTCTCTTGGTAACAGCACCTTTAAAAATGTATTCAGCCACTGTACAACACAGGACTCTTAAACACATTTCTTTGTACACACCTGTGCTGCCCTAGAAACAACCCTTCCTCTAAAAATCTGTCCATACAAGTAGCTTTACTCACATGAACAGACCCGTAGGTTTCAGCAGGACTGCACACACAAGTGATTGCAGAACTTAACCATTGTTTATAAAGACTTCCAAATATATCAGCAAAATGTGCTTTAAATTGTTTAAAGTCTTTCCATAATTACAACCTGGATATCTTTAAAGTTTTACCATAATTTTAAAGCATTCATGAGTTCCAGGTGGCTGGAAGTCATTTAAGAGCAAAATCCTGTTACCTAAAAAATGACCAGTAAAACAATCTCCTTCCCCAGCCTGAGCCAGCATAAAGCAGTGAGGCATTTCACCATGAAGATGCACTGAAAAACATTACGAAAAATTAGCAGACAGGGTTATTTGGGTAATGCACTATTCTCTCAAGTGAATTTCAATGCTAGGCTGTGTTCCTTTAGCAACAATGTAAAATACTGGATTATCACTGTAATAATATTTTGTCAATTCTTCTTACAACTTACTGTGTGATCTCTTTTATTAGACCAACCCAATAGTTGGAAAGATCGTTCTTTGCAAGCTTTCAGGCACAAACACTTCCAGGCATGGGGAGACTTTGCTGGTGTTTGTGCATTCTCACGCTACTATAATAGTAATAATTATCATCATCTTTATCCTATTAAAAAATGCAAGTCTATGAAACGCGAATGTGCGGCAACGAGGATGAGAAGGGTTGAGAGTCTGCCACAGCTGACTCCCACAAGAAAGGAGCAGTTTGCCAACCAGCACACATATGCCTCTCCTAAACGCGTGCAGTGCAGCGTGGCCCTACCTGCCCGCTAGCAGCACACCAGCACGCTGCAACCAGGCCGCTCCTCTCCAAGGCCAGATGCTGGGGGCATGCAGGCTAGGTCAGCCATTGTAAGGGACAGTCTGGTTGTCCTCTGTCAATATGAAACCCCGTGCCTTTATGTCCCCTATTTTTCTCTTCAAGAAAGAGAAGTCTGGTCCCTTGAAGAGAAAGGCATCGGGTCTCTTGAAGAGAAAAATAGAGGACATTAAGGCATCAGGTTTCGTATCAACAGAGGACAGAGGAGCAGAAAACCAGACTGTCCTCTATGATGGCCACCCTAATGCAGGCAGGTATGGCTTTCTACAGCAACCGCTCTGCCGGGGAGGGGAAAAACTCGCAGGTTTCTTTCCCATCAGCAGAGAAGCCTGCAGAAAACCTGCTTACCTACTACTATAATTACTGTTATTATTATTTGCAATTTAATAACATTTCTTTATAAATAATTGCGTATTTAATCATTATTATTCTATAAACAAGTGAAGCATGTGTGTGTCCACGTGGGTGCGTGAGGCGTGGGTCCCGCGTGGGGGGGGGGG